CTGTACTGTGCAGCCAGCTCTAGACCATCAGGTCTAAGAACTAAGGGGTCATGCTTTTCAAAGCATAATCTGTGGGCCAGAGGGTGGTGTGGTGGTTAAGGCAATGGATTCCCACATGGTTGACCTGGGTTTGAGTCTTGAACCTGGCAGCTTGTTTTCTCACTTTCTGTCTCTCTCTGGTCAAATTTTAAAATAATAAAAAATAATAATAAATAAAATTAAATAAATCATTATTTTTTAAAATGTTAAAAACATAATTTGTACATTATTGGCACAAAGAAAGCAACAGACATCCTTAAAAAAACGATAAAACCAACTTGCAATAGAATCCCAGACAAACTCTCTTGCATAAAAAATCACTTGCCCTGGGACCAGTAGGTGGCATGGTGATTAAGGCGCTGGACACTCCCACATGGCCGACTGCAGTTCAAATACCAAACCTGGTGGCTTGCTTTCTCACTTTCCCTCTCTCTCTCTGTATCTCTCTCTGGTCAAATTAAAATAAATGAATGAATAAATAAAATTAAATAAATACTTATTTAAAAATAAATCACTTGCCCTGGGGCTAGTATGTGGCATAGTGGTTAGGGCACTGGACTCCCACATAGCCGAACATGGTTCGAATCCTGGACCTGGTGGCTTGTGAATCACGCTAGGCATGTGTACGTGTGTGCCCCAAATCCCAGGAGAATGGAAGAGAAGGGACTGTGGTGTGTCCATCCCCCTGGGGGGATGATTTCTCACTTTCCCTCTCACTGCCTCTGTCTCTCTCAGACAAGTGCACACACCTTATGGAGAAAAACTTAACTTTTTTTTTGTCCCCATTTGGAGAAAGTTTATTTTTTAATAATTGTTTTGGAGAGGTCTTTGCTATAGGGCGCGTGCACTCGCCAGAAAGACAGAGAGAGACAGAGAGACAGAAAGCGAGAAATCACCCCCCAGGGGGGATGGCCACACTACAATCCCTTCTCCTCCATTCTCCTCTCGGGATCTTGGGCATGCACGCACACACACCTGGCATGAGTTTAAGCCGCCAGGTCTGGGACTCGAACCGTAGTCGACTACGTGGGAGTTCAGTGACATAGCCATTACGCTAACTGCTGGTCCTCCCATTTGGAGAAAGTCCTAGGGACAGCTCTGTGGCCTGTGTTAAGGGAGCCAGATCTCATACGGCTGACTGCACAGTGTAAGTTCCTGCCCTAGTGGCTTGAGAAACATGACAGGTGTGTGTCCGTGCATGCCCAAAATCTGGAAAGGAGGGTGGAATGAAGGGACTGTGGCATGACCATTTCTCTACCCCTTTCTGTCCCTGGTGAGCACTCGATCCTTGTGTGTATGTCGGAGGAGTTGGTACAAAGTGCCGAAAGACAGATGTTAAGGGTAGGTTAAGATTTACTAGTAATTGTTGCTCCCCTCTCCCCCACGTCATGAGAACAGCACAGCTCTGGCGAGCACTGTGGACAGCTGTCTGAAGCACTGTCACTGTTACATAGGGGACAAATGTGGCTCCTTGCTGTCCTCCTGGACCTTCAGACCTGCTCTGCCACTCGCGGCCTCCCGCCTGAGTGCTGGCCTGGGACCTGCTCTGTGCAGCCTGCTCTGGGCTCGCACTCACACCACCACACATCGCAGGGTAAGGCGACAAATGCCATGAGTGAGGGGCTGGCAGTCCTTAATGTGTGCCCCATGAGGTGAGCAGTCTGACAGGGCACCCGGCTCTGCTCACTTGAGCATCAAAGGGCGCTCCTGGTCCCCAGATAGCTGGCTGAACGGCCTTCACTAGGGCTCTTCAAGCAGCCGGGGCTCCTCAGAGGCAGGACCTGTGTGTTACTCATCTGTGAACTGCGCGGGGATTACCTAAGAGCCAGCTTTGGACGCAGCCATCTTCTGGCTTGAATACTGACTCCACCTCTTAATAACTGGGTAACCGGCCACTTAACCTTCCTAGCCCGGTTGTGTAGCCTGTAAAGTGGGGCTAATAAAGCCCCACTCCTTTGACTTGTGGAAATTAAATGGGACACTTGTTAAGTGAAGCTGCCCCTGCAGTTCAAGAGACTTCGTTGAGTGCTTGGGAGAGCAGTGGTGTGTGATCTCAGGACAGACTGTCAGTCTCTTTATCCAGAGCTTCAAGCATATTAATTGGAATCGTGGGGACCAGCAGTTGATGTAATGGCTATGTCGCTGGACTCCCACGTAGTCGACCATGGTACGAGTCCTGGACCCCGCGGCTTAAACTCACGTCAGGTGTGTGTGCGTGTCCAAGAGGGGAGAATGGAGAAGAAAGGGATTGCAGCGTGGCCATCCCCCCTAGGGGGTGATTTCTCACTTTCTCTCTCTCTGTCTCTCTTTCTGGTAAGTGTAAGCGCCCTATAGCAAAAACCCTCCCTCCCCCCAAAAAAATTGAAATCGTGGAAAAAATTAAATAAAAATGAAACAAACAAAAAACAGGGCCAGTCAGGTGGCCTGATAGTTAAGGCAGCTGGACCTCACATGGTTGACTGGGCAGTTCCAGTCCCAGACCAGCTGGCGGCTTGGAAAACATGCTGGGTGACTACGCAGGCAGGCCTGAAATCAGGGAGGAGAAGGAAGAAAGGATTGTGGCGTGGCCATCCCCTGGGGGGGGGGTCTCACTTTCTTTTTCTTTCTCTCTCTGGTGAGAGCTGATACCACATAGCAAAAAAAAAAAAAAAAAAAAAAAGGGAGAAAAAAATGGAAAAAGTATAGTGTGATTATCAATTACCTTTTAAAGGAGAATTTCTTCACCAGAGGAGAGCAAATGCTCTAAAAGTTAGGATTGAACAGCACTTACCTCAAGGGAAGAGATTAGTTTTCATTTTACCCACAATATTTGAACTTTCACAAGTACTTAAAATAACATGAAATTTTAAATAAATACATCTTTTTTAAGGAGCAAAAATATTGGTGGGCAGAGTGGCTGGCTTACTCTCTGAATCTCTTCGTTCGTTTGTATCAAAGCAACAAACAGAAAACACGCATACTTACCTGGTGTTAGCAAGGCAGCCCGTCGGCAGCCCATCCCCGGGACCCGGGCTGGGGACAACAGCCTTCACGCCTACTTGCACCGAGCCCCCCTAACCCGGACTCTTCTTTTTCTTTCTTTCTTTTCTTTTTCTTTTTTATTTATTTTATTTTTGCTGTAGGGCTAGAGCGCTTGCGGAAGAGACAGAGAGACAGAGACAGAAAGCGAGGAGTCACCCCACCCCACCCCCCGGGGGGTAATGTCCTCGCCGCAATCCCTTCACCTCCTTCTCCTCTCCCCGACGTCTACACTAGCCGCCACCTGCTGTCGGCGCC